TAACAGATTAATCTCTTTATCATGTGACCATTTCCTCCCATGACCCGCCCCACGCCCATCAGAGGAGGATCCTGTACAAACTTGCCATAGCTTTTAAAGGAGCCAGTGTCAGTGTGTGACAGAGAGCAGCAGTCACTGGGACTCAGTGTGTACTTTACCTCAGTGCTCCTCCCTCTGTCCTGCAGCCATGAAGCTCCTACCAGCCCTGCTCACCCTCACAGCACTGGCTCTCTCAGGTCCCTGTCTCTCTCCTCTCTGTCTCTCTTTCTCTCTGCATGTTTCTTTGTGCTCATCTAAAAGTCTGCTCTACCTCTATACTTACAGGTGTGAAGGCTCAGATTGTACTGACTGAGTCTGAATCAGTGGTGAAGAGACCAGGAGAATCACACAAACTAACATGTACAGCCTCTGGCTTCACATTCAGTAGCTATCGTATGCACTGGGTCAGACAGGCTCCTGGGAAGGGACTGGAGTGGATCGCTTCTGCACATGGCAGTAGCCCTTACTACTCCCAGATTTTTCAGGGCAGATTCACCATCTCCAGAGACGACGGCAAGAACCAGGTGTATTTACAGATGAACAGCCTGAAAGCTGAAGACACGGCTGTGTACTACTGTGCCAGAGAGTCACAGTGATGGGGGCTGTGGGGAAGCCGTACAAATACTACTTCCTCATTGAGAATAAGGATGTCATATTATTATTTATCCTGGAGCTGAGAGTATCTGTTCATTTTTGATATTCAGATGATGTTATAATAATAATTTAAAAAATTATCAGAAATATAATTTTTAAAAATGGCAATATTTAAACATTTTAAAACAGTGACTTTCTCCTGTCTCCATATGTAAGAGCAGCAATTCTTAAAAACCGTAACCTCTGCAGCCAAATGACCACAGAGGGTGATACTTTACCCGCTGTGGGGATGATGAGGATGGGCACTGTGACTGTGTCCCAAACCATCAGGTCTAATCTCAGGGTCTGTATAATGACTGTCCTGAGCTTTGCTCCAGGCTCAGCCATGTTTGCTTTTGTCCAGGACAGGATGTACAGCTGCTATGATCCTCCCTGTAATCTGTCAGTTAGATTTTCAGTTCCTGTTTGTAATTCTGTTGTATATCCTAGCCTCATGATTTAATGATTTGTAACTAATTTGTACTTCAGTAGTAACTGAGTTATTACTAGGTTTTATCTGCAAAATCTGCTGTCACTTGTTGACTTCACTACACAGATAATATTTGCACTCATAACAATTTCAGTTCTCAGAAGATCTTGCTATCTGGTGTTAGCACTAGCTACAGGGCTTGAAATTCATTTTTCACAATTTGGAGAATTCCCCTCTTATGAGTAGCACAGGGTGAGGAATTTCAGATTTTCATGGGGCAGGGATGTAATTAAAAGAAAAATAATCCTGCATGGATTTAGTAGCATTAGTCATGGAATTTTTAGTGGAATCCGCTTCCCTGTTTCTCTTGACAAACCCTGTTTGGTTACTGACACCTGAGTGCAAATAGCATCTGCCAGCATTTAATCCTCATGTAAATATAGTATATTTATACCTATCTAACAGTAAACCTATTTTGTACTTGCTTGTATACATAGTGAAGTCTGTAAATTATACTTTAAAGCATACTTTATTTAAAATTATCCACTTGATAAACATAATTTTAAGGGCTGAGGATGATATTAAAACTTGTAGGCAGAGCAGCTTATGGAGGGAAGTATGACCATCTGCATTTATTAAGAGGCTCCTTTAATCCCCCAGGGAGGTAAACAAATTCACCCACCTGCCCGTCATATAAATGAGGTTCCTCTAAACACACAGACTTCACCATCAAATCAGCCAAAGACTTTGTGTTACAATGGAAGCTCTGAGAGTCCTGTTACTTTTAATGGTTTTATTTTCATGTAAGATAACTACCTTCTAAATGATTTTTTATATAGTTTTCATCATACTTTTGTACCTTTGTTTTTGCTCTGTTCCTATATCCAATTATACACTCACCTAAAGGATTATTAGG